CGATATATGGTGTGAGTATGTCAGCTTTGAGTCTAGAAAAACGCCTAAGTCTTTCACGCAATGCACCCGTTCGATAGTCGTGCCTAGTAGTTTGTTGTTGAAAATAATCGGTTGTTTCTTGCGTGAGAAAGTAATAACTGTACACTTAGCTGGGTTGACCACCAGTCGGTTTTTAGACTACACCAGTCAGCAAAGATGTCAATCTGATTGTAGAGAGAACGGCAGTCGGCGAGTGAGCGGATGCGCAGAAAAACTTTCAGATCGTCTGCAAACGATAATCGTGGCTCTGTGATAACATGGTGAACGTCGTCGAAGTAAAGGAGAAATACCAATGGTCCCAGATGGCTACCCTGAGGTATACTAGACTTTGCGCAGAAGCTTGCTGAGCGACAAGTACCCAAAGTTACTGTCAATTGGCGCTCCGTGAGGTATGAACGAAACCATCTCAAAATATTTCCACCGATCCCTAGCCTATCAAGCTTAGCGATCGCAATTTTGTAGTTCAGCTTATCGAAGGCTGCCGTAAGATCTATGTAGATAACGTCCGTTTGGGTCCGAGCAATCAAACTGTCTGTGATGTAAGACGTTAGGCACAGCAGGTTCGTAATTGTGGAACGCCCAGTTATGAATCCGTGTTGATCTGTACTTAGATTTTGCTTGGAATGCGCATTTAGATACTTGTCCAAAACAGTATAGCTTTATATATTGAAATAAATTAGATAATCCACCACAGCCCCCATTCGTGGAAATCTCATAAACTGTGGGTATCCTTATTTGCAGTTCCTTATTCACGCCCCCGTTACCCCGGCAATAAAGCTTCCTGACTATATGTGTTTTCAGGCGCAACAATCGGGAGGGTGGGTAAGATCGACACCCTGTTGGGGTAAAAGCGGCACATCTTATAGGAGTTAAAATCGACACCACTTGGGGTAAAACCGATACACCTTATCGTGGTAAAATCGACTATAAATATCAAATGTCAATTTTTCGATCATAAACAAGAGGCATGTACAAAAAAATGTAGAAAACCCATCAATTTTGCATTAAACTTAAGACATATCCTGTTTCTGAAGCATATTGCTAATGTCTTTTTAACCACGAATGAACAAAGTTTTTGAGAGTCAATAATCTAAAAAATTATCAATCTTCGTACGGAATACACGAAATAATGATTTATGATGAACTATGCGCACATCAATTATTGAATTTTATAAAATGATACGTCTAAAACCAGTTAAAATCTGAGAGCGAAATCTTACTGGATCAATGCTTACCAAATGTATTTATTCTGACAGTTACAGGATAACGACAGTTATAAGGTAATTCGGAACATAAGAAACGACAAGTGTGCAACCCCTATGCTAAATTAAATTATTAAAAGTTTGCTAAAAACAACTAATAATCTGCAAATTCGAAAGGGTGTCGGAAATACCCAAAGGGTCGGTTTTTCCCGGATTTCCCCTACATCATTTATTTCGGAATTGATCCCCTTTATTAAACACAAGAAACATGAGCGAAGTTTTCCAGCTTGCGGGAAACCTACGATCTCGTAAGGATATGTTGAAAAGTATCATAAGAGGGAAAATCAACTCTTCACCGCATTTTTTAAAGATGCATGAGGGTATGCCATCTGGACTGCACACAGATAATTTCAATTTGTTTATTGCGGAGTGTAGGGTAGGATGGTGCAAAACGCACCGTTTAAGCAAATTCGTCAATTGCTGGCGTATGGAAGCTAAAATCAAGGAGAAAGTAATGGTGTATGGTTCATTACCATAGTTGGTTGGAAATGCTATCTACCGTGAAGCTTTAGTGTGATAGTTTATTAGCTAGATAATGATCTTAGAAGAGGGTAGGTATATGGTGCCGTTAGAGTGCGGCAGTATGAAAATTGTATAGAAGTTGAAAATGAGCGAAGGGCCTTTAATGCGACAGTGCAAGTCAAACGCACACTCTTTGCCTACTCGTACGATGTACGCGAAGATTTGAACTATGTCTTCAAATCTACAGGCAAAAAGTGTGCTCCTGACTTTTCTCAAATACTGCCTGCGGCTGTGGAATAGTTCTAGCGTTGTTTCATCACTACATTAAGCCCTACGTTGCCGAAAGCATTTCCAGTCGATGGTGTGTTATAATGCAATTGTTCTTTACCCAACTATTGTGTTGCTCCTCTCGTCATGATACGTACACTCATAAAATAAATAACATAACCAGTGGAAAATATCCATGTGAATTTCACATAACTTTCATGTGATCCCATAATTGGAAATTGCACCACTAAATCACATGAACGTTATGTGTCCAATGAAATCTATATGATTTCTCATATAGAATTTCTTATGCTATGTGATATTCAGGTATAAATCATTGTTTTTGTTTTTGGAAAAATACTATGTGCGTTCCTAATAGAAACTAAGTGAAAACTTTTTTCAGTGTAGTCATCTCAGAGAGAACGCAGTAGGGTGGTTGTTGTGTGCTGTACCATCATCAGCATTGTTGACGGCTACTCCCGGCTAGATGTAATGATCTCATGTTTTACTTGTAAGTTACAAGTAGATGTTGCAAAGTATTTGTATGACACATACAGTAATCATAAAACCACTAATTTAGTCTCTCAGCGAAATTGACAGGTTGTATGTGTCAAACACATACTTTGCGACCTTTACATACTTCTTGTACTTTACAAGAAAATCATGTGTCAGTTTGCTTTCAGCTGTAGCTTAAGCCGCACTTGTTTCTCTCGGTGTCGGTCGTGCTATCGACAGTTGTTTACTCGATCACGGCATTCTTGTGGTGCGCTTTGTTCATTGCCTGCAGATCGGTCAGTGCACTTCCCAACAAACAACCGCCTATTGAAGAAACGGCTTCTTGATCATTTTATTCAACTGCATGCTTAATACCTAATACTTTTTTTTTCCTTTGTTTGCTTTCCGTCGATCTTGTTTTCCGTGCTGAGCACCAATGCTACCGACGCCAGCTCCCACACCTGGAAACTACCTATCGAACCATCAACTCATGAACCTGCACACTTAGAAAAAATCATGTAAATTTAGGTGCTCTGAGACTGACATATACGAGCGTCAATTATGACATAAAATTGAGTCATAATAGACGCGAAATTCAGCTAAATCAAATGTACTTTTCGTCGAGTAATGAACTTTTCAGTCTCGAAGCACTTAATTTTACATGACATTTTTGTTTACGTCTCATCCATTATGTCAAAGATGGATTCCGTCACGTGTAAAATTAGGTATTTCTAAGTGTATGCACAGTTCGAAAAAGTAGTGTAAATTTCTGTTCAATATGATGCACATAAATGGAGCGTCACATATCATAAACGTTTACATTATATATTATGTAAAGTTCTGACACATTTCATGCAATGTAGCAAATATTGTATACAAAAACCCATCTTTGTAAACAACATTGTTTGCAAGTTGCTCAGTTGCGTGAAATGAAATACAAGTCTACATGAATGAATGTTTACATCACAATTCAAATTCAGAATTTTTATCTGTGTGGGAAAAACGGATTTACTTCCCTTCCGAAGAAAGGCGTGATCAGAGAATTTTGTAATCTCGTGAAGATTTTATACGAAAAAAATCATTGTCAAAAACTTGCTTGTACACAGCAAAAAATAAGGAATTTTACATGACGTGTAAATCACAAACATTTTAAATTTACATCGCTTTAAACTACGTTTTAATTTAATTTTACATTAAAAATCATGCACATCATAGGAGCATGATAAAACTCATAAATTTACACGTTTATTCGATTAATTTTCTCTTGCAATGTATTGTTCTCTCTCCATGCGATGTAAAAACTTATTGAAAAACATCGAATTTTCAACGATAAAACATATAAATTTACATGCTCGTGTAAATTTATATCAACAAACATTGAGAAAGCAAATATGGCGGACGGACCGATTATTCGATCAGTTTTTTCTCCGCTCGGTTTGTTTTGTTTTGTGCGCTCAGTTTTGGTTATGTGGAACGATTTATCGTGCATACGCGCGTCCACAAATAGAAAATATATGACAGACATAATATTAATTAAAGCGTTTTATACAGAGAGCACTTTTAGTTCGTGCAGAAAATCAAAAATTTGGATATTGAAAAATAGAAAAACATTCAAAAATGCGCTCGTGGTTCTTTTTTTCTCCTGACTGATCGTTTTGATGCAGCGGTGGAAGTTTAGGGTGTACTGTGCCGTAAAGGCGGGTTTTTCCGCGTACTTGACAATCAGTTCGATTTCATGCAAATTCGTTCAAAAAGCCAAATGCGTATAATTCTAAATGTCCTGTAGAATTACAAATTGAGCCCATCTAAAGCCATCCATGTAAAATTCAAGTGATGTAAATTTCAAGTGGTGTAAATTTAAAAACCAATTTAATTTTACATGCATATGCATGCTCTTTTTATGTGCATGGAAATTCGTGTAAAATTAAAAATAATTTTAACTGTATACGCTACAGTTGTTTGTAATAACCGCCATTACATTTGTTGTTAGAAAAAATGCAGTGGATCGAACTCTTACATTTGATGTCTATTACATTTGTTTTGCGTGTATATTTAATGCATTTGCTGCTTGGTATGGGTGTTGTGTCTATTTCGTACACAGCAAAAAAATAATTTTGATATCACTTCAAAGTGGATGCACTACAATCATGTCGAAAATTTCATGTAATTTTTATGACCACATAAATAAACAAATGCAGTAAAAGCAGCGTAATGTCAGTTCATGCATTGTATTAATGATAATTTTGTCCTTTTTAGCAAGTAGTATTACACAATATTTTCGACATGATTGTAGTGCATCCACTTTGACGTGATATCAAAATTATTTTTTTGCTGTGTATCTAGGATGCTCTGTTGACGGAAATTATTGAAAAGAAATAAGACCATAACACGAACATAAGATCAACCAACATTTACTCACCTATCCAACACATACCTGTAGTCGTTGTGAGCTTACAATTTTTTTTCTCATTTCAGACGGAGGCAGCATGGAGTTACAAATCGTAGAAAATAGGTAATTATCCATCTGGTACCCAGTAGTTCCTCAACCATCCACATAACAAACAATACTTGTGTTACGTAGCCCCTTAACCAGCCACGTTGAGCGTCATAAACTGCCCGAAATTGTTCATAATTTGGATCGCGCAGCTGATTTGCATCTTTCTCTGGCTAAAAACAAACTGAACTGACCCGTTCGCGCGCGCCTTTTACCCATCATGTGAGACATGTGTTGTTATGAGAGACACTCAGCTACTAAACGATACGTTGGTTGTTTTCTTCTCTCTTTCCCCCAGGCAGTGACGAGCTTCCTGGCTGGGTGGTTAGTGATCGAAAAATCGACAGCAAATCCGGTAATTATACATGGTCAGAAAGCTTTTTTTTTTCTGCCCTGGGGTGCATTTCCCACGAATCATGATTTTCCACCTCACTCTCTCGGTAATGCGACCAAGTGAGCCAACGTTTCAGCATATGGTTTAACGCTGCAGTAACTCCTCCATATATGCGTTGGTTAATACCGTCCACCCACCGCTGTTTCTGGGCTGTCCTGCAACCAATTACGCTTTTGTATGTGATTAGTGTCAGCCATAAAATAGTTATCTACAGAAAATCAGCTCAATTGGTTGAAGGACAGCTGAGAAATAGCGGTGGGTGGACAGTACCACCCATCGCATATATGGAGGGGTTACTGTAGTTGCAATGTGTGTATACTTCGATGGACATCTTGAATTGATGTGAATGTTTGATTAACGCCATTTTTTATTAATTCCAGCATACCAAAATGCTACGATACAGGTCAACGTCAATCTGAAGATAGAAGACAATTTCACTTTCATCGTATCCAAGAAACTTTCGAGTCCCGTGTAGTGTCTGCCACATGAAGCCAACACCGAGCCAGATGGTAATAAATTCAATAATGGACGTTATAATTTGTTTGCTAACAATGTGCTGAACAAAGCCATTTTTCTTTTTGCTGCAGTCATCGTCCACAGTCGAACCGCAGCCAGCAGTAATAAAAGCACCGAAACGATGCGAATCGTGAGATGGGGTGTTTTTCATTGTGGACGTTGCTTTCATCTAAGAATACAGTTATCCCCTTGTTAGCGTGGTTTCCAATTATGTTGATATAAAGAAATTCGAAGTGTACGAAAATCATGGCATTGGTAGTGGTTGTACCTCTAACTCTGTGATATGACCAATCATCGTACATAGATTACTTCATGAATCTGCCTTTAAAAAAGTAAGTAATTTACTAAGAAGATATTGCGCATGAAGTCAATCAGCTCAAATCCAGTGGTATCAATTAATGGCACTAGTTGGATGAATACTGTACATATGCATCAAAAATCAAACATAGCAAATAGCATAAAAAATAGGATCAATGAAACCGTATATGAGAGTGTTGTCGCTTTTCTGTGCCATCAACGACGATCTGTTCACTTTCATGAAATAGTGCAAGGAGATCAATATGCGATAACCAAAAACAACAACATTGATATATAATTTGACTGATTAAATTTAATTATAATTGCATAAATAATACAAAATTGCACCCAGCTAGACATTTTTCGAAGTGGTGGGCATTTAGTGAACTTGTATCTGCTACCTTGTAACCGGGTCAGTAGACTGGCATAATGTTCCCTATGATTTCGATAAACTACTGTAAACAGAGATAAAATAATGGAAAGATTATCTTGTTAGATTTGAAAGTAGGTTGTAATCGTTTTTCGTCGACCCTTTCACCAAGATCAATGGATATTAGGGGGCCAACCATTTGTAAGATGTTTATTGCATCAAAAAAAGACCCTGTGCACAACTTGGGCTAATCTTCGGCTCAATCGGACATAGTTTAGGAGGGGTTGTGCTTTATTGTTAAAATTTTAGTTTTTTGTTATATCAAAAAATCATACATATTTCATACATAAATCATGAAATTTCGGATTTCAGATTTTGTTATGCCAAATGACTGAAAAATTAATTAAACGTCGCGATCTGATGTAATCTAAAAAAATGTTTATCCTGGTTCGCCTCTGGAGTGAGACCCGAAACCATACAATTAAAATAAATTAACAATAAAATACAAAAGGACATTTTATTGTTGACAATTACCCTATAGGCTCTTTTTATGCACCATCAATGTAGAGTGCGCTAGCCGATCCAATCCATTTGTTTACATCATAATGATGATTTTCAAAACTCAAAATAATGTACATTTTATTGCACAACTTGCCAATTTCCATCGGGAATGGTCTTATTTTTCGATTATCTACAGATCTGAACTGATTTACAGCTGAAATAATCACACATTAAAAATCCGGAATATCATAACCGCTGGGACAATTTTATAAATCTAAATTTTTCTCATAAAAAATATATGGAAGCACCAGTCGGATCTCTGCAAACCCAATACAGAAAACAAAATATTCCACGTGGATAATGATTTCAAGCACCTGCGGTGGATAAATTAATCAGGAAAGGTGAAAATATTGTCCTCTTCCTATGCTTCACGGTGAAAATTTACACCCTCATCACTCTTTTGAGGGTTCCCCTATTAACCGCCAGAGGCTGAAACGATCGCTTAGTTTCTTTTGGATTCACCTATAGGCAAATTCAATAGAAACTAAGCGATCGTTTCAGCCTTTGGTGGTGAATAGGGGAACCCTCAAAAGAGTGATGAAGGCTAAAATTTTCACCGTGAAGCATTGGCAAATCAATGTTGGCCACCGTTGAGAATAGAAGAACTACAAAAGTGATGATGATTTCAAAATTTAGCACGGTGAGGTATACGAGTGCAATCTTAAAATGCATTTATTTTGCGAACACACCATTTTAATAAAATTTCGTTAATGCTACGGTCGTCGAAAACATAAGGGCTACTTAGAAGGCATATATGGGCCTATTCTGCGCGGCGTGTGAGGTGAGGTGACAGTGAAGTGATGGTGAAGTGACAATTGTCACCTCGTGTGAGGTGACTCTCCATTTGAAAATCTTATTTCTTTTCAGATTTTTAGTTGTATAAGCAGATTTCTACTAGATTTTTAAAAAATGCTCCAATTGCAAAATAAAAGCATTTTAAGATTGCACTCGTATACCTCTCCGTGGAAAATTTTCCAATCATCATCACTTTTGCAGTCCTTCTATTCTCAACGGTGGCCAACTTTGATTTTCCAATTGGCGATCTAACGATGACATAAATCGCCGCTTGTGGCAAATAGGAGAACTAGAAAAATGATGATGGTTTCATAGTTTTGCACGGCGAGATATGGGAGAATAATTTTAAAATGCTTTTATTTTACGAATAAAGCTAAAACCTGTAGATCTAAACGAAAACTAAGAAAAATAATCATATTTTTTGAATAATACGTCTATTGGGAAGCTTTTCAGGGTTTTTCCCCCGTACCAGCAATATAAAAATTAACATTTTTTTTTTCGGATATTTAATAAACCCTAATAAAAATGGTATGGTTAATTTGCTTAACGACGTGTTCGGGGAATCATCCAAACTATTTGTGGAATAGTTCAATCATTTGGATGATCGTTCGTTTATGGTAATTTTTTATTAGGGAATCCTTTGATGATTTCTCTTCCATACCTCACCGTGCAAAACTTTGACCACCAATAGGAAGGAAAATTATTTTTATTTTTCCCGATTGATTAATCCATGGGCTCTTTTGACGCACCATCAATGTAGATTGCACTAGGCGATTATGAGAGGGAATGTCATCCAAACCGTTTGTTAACATCATAATGACGATTTTCAAAACTCAAAATAATGCAAATTTTATTGCATATCTTGAAAATTGCCATGGGTATTAGTCCTTTTTTACGATTGTCTACAGATCTAAGCTGATTTACAGCTCAAATAATCACACATTAAAAACACGGAAGATTATAACCGCTGGGATAGTTTGATAAATCTTTATTTCCTCAACAAAAATGTAAGGAAGCACCCGCCCGAGGGGCACGCACTATTCTTTCAATACTACACAGCCTGCTGACCAAATATTTAAAATCTTGCCATTACTGCATTACATACTTTAAATACACTCTTAATTTCAAAATTTTATATTTTAATTATTTTCAATATAGTTAAATTATTTGTCATTACATAAATTATCGTTAATTATTTGTTAATTACTTTCAATACCGCTTTAAGTACAGGCCGGACTCGATTATCCGGAGGCTCGATTAACCGGAGGCTCGATTATCCGGGGCTCGATTATCCGGAGAAAATGGCTCGATTATCCGAAGTGATATTTTTTTTTACCTATCTTGCCAATTATTTTTCATAAACCGCTTGGAAAACCGACTTTCAATCCGAGGACGAGTTACAGGGCGGACTCGATTATCCGGAGTCTTGAAAAAAATTTCACTTCGGATAATCGAGCCCTCCGGATAATCGAGCCATAAAAATAAAAAAATTTTTTGGTCTTAATGTGCCTCATAATTGGTTATTATCCAAGTCCGATTCTGGTCACTTTCCCGGTGCACCTGGAACTTGTCCGGAAGTGGCCAATATGGTCCAAGGTACTTAATTGTTTCCACCATTGATCTGGTTATCGGATTTTGAGATAATCTGATGTGTCGCATGATAGGATATTATTCAAGTCTGGTTCTGGCCACTTTTCCGGAGGCACCCGGAACTAGCCCGGAAGTGGCCAAAATGGTCCAAAGTACTTAATTTTTGCCACCATTGATCTTGATACCAAATTTTGATTTAATTTGATATGTCGCTTAATGGGTTTTGTTCCTTTCAAGTCAAATTAGCCTCATGGCCCATAAACGCCGGAACTTGTTCCGGCCATATCTACAAAACCATTGGTCCGATTCCATAATCCTTCAATAGCGTTCAATGGGACCACTAAAAACATTAAATGAGACCACATAAGACCAAAAAAAAAAAATTATTTTGATGGCTCGATTATCCGGAGTGAAATTTTTTTCAAGACTCCGGATAGTCGAGTCCGCCCTGTAATTAAATTCAAATTATTACTGTCAAAAAGTATTTAAATTACC